TACATACATACATACATACATACATACATACATACATACATGCATACATACCTATATACATACATACATATGGTTATACATACATTCATATATACACACACACATCTATATTTACATACACATCCACACACATACTCACATACATACATGCATACATACAAATTCACATAACTACAGACAGACATAAATACATAGACACAGACATCCAGACATTCGGACGGGAGGACATCGACTGGTGCTTGATGTCTAGTTTGGCCAGGCTGTGGACGCCTGTCGCCCAGGCGACAGGGTCGGCTTGGTCGGCCCAATTGTCGGCCATCGGGAGGCCCGAGCCAGGCGAGTCAGGTTGTCAACTGGTGATTATATTTCACCCCGGCAACAGCCGGAACTGTTGGGCCCTACCAGCACAAACGCCATAATTGTGTAAACGCTTTTCCGGTTTATGGGAATCGGCGCAAAATCGCCCCACATCCCTTTTCGCACTGGCCACCGGAGCCGATGGGCCAGTCTGCGTGTCTCCGGCCCCTGGAAACCGTGAGAACAACACATTCATCGGCGAAACAGTGTCGATGCCTTCGCAGACCGTCGCCTCGTAAGCCTCGCAAGCCTCACGAGCCTCGGAGGGGCTTTTTCGAAGCTGCATCTTGTCGTTAGTTCGGCCGATTTTCCGTGAAATCAGATATTACAACTTTTGTCTGCTTGTACCTGGCCGCCTTGTTCACACACACACACACACACACACACATACATACATACATACATGTATGTGGAACTTGTATGAAAGCTGAAGTGAGACTATGCGCTTAAATAGTGAGCAGTCTCGAGACGCCATCTTTAGTCCGTGACGGTATATTCGCGGCCTACTTAATTCGAATATAAGTAGTGCTGTTGATTTAAATTGCAAACACAAGTTTGCGCCATTGACGGCGGTACAGGTGACAGTCTGGATTTATGGTTAAGGTGGCGATACTGTACCTAACACCACCAAAAACCGGGTTCG